TTTTTATTTCCGAATGGGATTTCAATTACAAAGAAATAGCAAAGGCTGACGCTGCAGGTTAAAATCTTAAGTGTTCTGACTGCTGCTTAACTTGTCTCGTATCGCATGCAAGTTTGCTTGCCTCTTATCATTCACTTCAGCAGTCTGCATAGCTAATTTAAATAATCTGGGCGAAACAAGCAAAACTAGAAAATTTGAATTCATTTTCTCACATTGGGGTGGCATGAAAACGGAAGTTCGGCGAAATTGATATGGTGAATTTTTTTTTGCGAGTTTCAGGGTAGGACGACAATTCGTAACAAGCGACAATTTAACTATTACGATCATTTATCCACGAGGGATAGGACCAACATACGAGCTGTACAGCTCATCACGGCGAACCGCTGTTGTGCCCCTGCTTAAGAACTACATGCAATTTTTTTGTTTTTTTTTCTGGGCTGGGTAATGTTGCCTCACCCTCAAGCAACGAGCACGGATCATGGTGGGCCTCGAACATCCGACCTTTCGATTGAGAGGCGGAGACGTAACCACTGCTCCCCTAATTCGCAATTCGCAACATGTGACAATTCATAATAGGCAAAAATTCGTAGCGAGGCATTGACAGGTAGAATATGCTTGCTCCGCTTCACTCTACTGCGCTTACATCCGGTACGAGAAGAAAACTGCGAGTGAATCAGTGTTCTCCGCTTAATCTGGTGTTATGAATTGTCGCTTGCTACGAATTGTCGCCTCTCACGGAATTTCAGATATAAAATGGTACACCGTATGCAGACCCCAGAAGTTTGTCGTAATCAGTATCTTTCAGTCAATCAAATCTTCATAAATGCAAAAAAAAAATGTGTTACTAAAATTGACGTTTTTAAAATTTTGGCCTTAATTTTGATATTATGATTGTGGTACAAACCCACGTCAAAAATTTATTACCTTTACCGCACTGGTTCACCAATAAAAACTTTGACCGGCTCAATTCTATCACGCATACGCGCTATCGGAAAAAATTCTACACTTGTTTCGAGTTTTAATTGAAAAAAGTGAAATGGAATAAGACTGCTTGCACATCAAAGCAAAACCCTGATTGTTCCGACCGCACATTGAAGACACTTAAAAAAGTTTGTTTAAAATTTAACGCAATAATTGAAAAAAATAAACAACAATTTATTATTTTTTAATTCTGCACGGAGTCTTATAGAAAGGTAGCATTCTTTGTAAAACTGATCTCAGCAAAAGGCTCCGGTTGCGCAGAATTTCATAGACCACATTTATAATAGCTAAAAAAAACCTGAGCAAATCAATATTTTGTTCCGGCCGTTAGAAATTCGGAACAATAAAATCACTCAGCAGTTTATGTACGAAATTGAGTTAGGGTTTTAGCCCGGTTACTTTTTGGCTACGGGGTCTGCAGAAAGTGACATGAGCAGGGCAACTAAAGTAGCTAAAAAGTGACTCCAAAAAGCGACATGCTTTAATGTCACTTTTTTTGTTAATTTTATGTAACCAAAAAGTGACATCAAAAAGTGACATTGTCAATGTCACTTTTTGGGAGTTGGGGTCTCCTTTTTTGAAAATTGGCTGAAATTTGTCCGAAAACCCATACTCAAATCGCAAAAACAACAAAAACCAACGAAGAAATTATAACTTCATTGAATAAACATAAAAAAGACTCGAACTTCCAGAGTTTTTAACAAGCAAATTGACTTAAAATTAAAAAAAGGAAAATAGCCTAAATAGAGCCCAACCCCCAAAAAAGACCCCTTTCCCCAAAAACAACAAAATAACTGCAAAATTGCTACCAAACTGAAATAAAAATATTGTTACAATTTAAACCTTTTTGAAGATGGGTGCCCAACCTTTAAATTGGTGAATATTTGATGCCCAACCTTTAAATTGGTGAAGATGTGAATTGACTGATATTTTTAAAGATAAACAAAAAAAGAGTATTTGACCCCCCAAACGTAAAATTGAAAAAAATATTACCGTAAAGTGTCAACACCAACAAAACAAATACAATCCCAAAACCAACCATAGTAAATCAAACAAACAGTAAAAGATATACTTAAGAGATTTTCACTCGATATCAATAAAATTTTATCCAAATTTTTTTAACAAGGGTTGAATTTGCAAAGCGTAAATTTCCATTTCAAAAATATAAATTTTTCAAACGTTGGCGAATTTTTTTCTTCAAATTTTACATCACTTGATTAAGCCACCAACGATTTTCCAGCTAAAATGTTATCTGAGAGTTTTTTTAAAATTTTTTAGGCACAATTTGTGTTCAGAATAAGTGGTTAAATATCCAGATTGATGCCGTCAAGGATGTTTCATCTAGTTGATCGACATATTCGAAACTATCAGTGTTCTTTAGAAAATTGAATATGGTAAAAAGAGCCAAATCATTTTTTAATCGAACATTTCACATTCAGGATATCTTCTAGACACTATGAAAAGTGTACATACACAGTTTCAATTTTTTATTTCTAATGGTTGATGAGAAAAACAAACTTGAAGCAAAAAAGCCATTGCACCAAAAAAATTCCACCGGCTCAGTTTTGGATTTCTCAAGTTGCAACAATCGCATCATAGCAAAAAAGGGTCGCTGAAAAAAAACAATGATTATCAGAACAACTTAGGAATATGAGTTTCTTCAGCTACCGAAAGCAGTTTTTTAACCAAAAATTGATTTTCATCTAAGTTGACTTTGCCACAAACGGTTCTCCTTCTAAAAAACTATCTGAAATTTTTCCAAAAAATCTATCAGACACATAAAATTCATTTATTGAGGTTTCTTAACTAGAAAAATGACGTCAGTGAAAGTTCATCTCATTGAACGACGTGCTCGAGAGTATCAGTATTCAATCTAAAATTGAGTATCGTGAAATGACCCAAAAAATTTTTTAAATTTTTTCACTCATTGAGGTTGTTGTTTACACCTTATGAAGAGTTAATATACTTGTTTTTTTAAGCTTCATAAATCCAATAGTCGATTGCAAAAACAAATTTTGGTCCAAAAAGACCCAACTTCGAAAAAAAATTGGCTCAACTTCGATTTACCCTTTTTTTCAGAGATGCATTACGATGAACCAGGAGTCGTTGTAAAGCTTTTTTTTGCTGAACGTAGAAAATAAAAAAAGTTTTGCTAGCCCAAGGCTATATCTTCGCCAACATTTAATTTTCTAGGTTTGATGTTCAGGTTAAATCCGTCAGTGAAGTTTAATCTCATTGAGCGACATGTTCCAGAATATCAAAATTCACTCCAAAATTGATAATCGTGAAAAGACTCTAAAGTTTTCTGAACTTTTTAAAAGCAATTGTGATTGTTTATACACTCTACGAAAAGTTCGTTTATACAATTTTAACTTTATGAACCCAATAGATGATGAGAAAATCAAAATGGAGTAAAAAAAGTACTAAACTCGAACAAAAAAAAATGTACTCAACTTCGATTTACTCAAATTTTAAAAATTGCATTATGATGAACAAGAGGTCATTGAAAAATTCTCTTTAGCTTCTGATAGTGGAATATAAAACAAGTTCATAGATTTAATATTTTTCAGCTAACCAAAAGCTATTTCCCAGCCAAAATTCGACTTTTAAAATTTTTTCAAAGTTCACCCCTCTTAAGCGAGCAAAATATGTTTTTAAGCAAATTTTTTATCTTATACCCTTTTGAAGTGTAGTAGACATATATGAGGACCAGTTGAAGTGCTTTCATGTCCAGAATGAATAGATCAGTGGAATTTTTTATTTCTCAAAGTCTACAAAATGCATTATAGCAAATAAGGGCTTTTTGGGAAACACTTACCAATGAGTGAACGTAAAAAACCCAGTGTTGAAAACAGTCATAGGCTAAGTTCTAAACCTAAAACTCATTTCCCTGCCAAAAAGTGACATCTCTAGGGCTAAAATGTAAAATTGTTGAAAATAGCCCCTTAATTTTTTCAAATACTTAAGTCGGGTTATCAGGGTAACTACACTTTATAACACATTTTTCATTTCGGTTTGGAAAGTTAACCCAAAAATTATTTCATTGACTAATCGGTTGATTTAGCTCAAGAAACCATCTGAACTGTTGAGATTTCAACAATTGGATCATTTTTCGATGAGAAACAGACTTTAAAAAATTTCGACCCTAGCCCTAAAATTACACTAGACCTCAATTGCCCTAAATTTTGAAAAAGTTATCTAAACTCAACAGTTGCTACATATTTGGGAAGAACATTAGCCGGGCTTTCCAAAAATAAAAAAAACGCCCAAATACACCTTTTTTTTCCCTTTTTTTGCTAACCCTAAATCGACCAAAAAGTGACATTTGCCCACCCCAACTTTTTTAGACCGTTTTTTTCGGTCTTTTTCTGATAAGGTATCTCAAATTTTGAATGTAATCAAAAGTCAATAAAGTAACGAAGACTTATAAATAGGTCGTGTTGATTTTCTTGAAGAAAAGTCTGAAAAGTTATTTATGAAAGTTAAAATGCCACAAAAACCCTGAATGTTTGTTTGTTTCAAAACTGAACTTGAGTTTTCAGAATTCCCAGCGGAAGAAAAAATTTCCCATGCACTCGATATTTTTGTGACTGGGTTACTTATATGATTAAAGTGTCAATCAAAAGATTCTTGAAAATCAAGGATCTTTGACAAGATCTGATTTTTGTCTGCGACATTTGGAAGTTGAAAACTAATAAAAAAAGATCAATCCTTTTTTCCGAAGAGTCATGGCTTCTGAAGAGTCATTAACACTTTACCAACTGTTTGTTGGTTATTTTTGCTTAAACTCATTGCGTCGCCGCTTGTTTTGTTAAATTATGTTCTCTTTTTGTTGTTTCATTCAGCTTCCGTCTAAAACTTGTCTGTTAACTTTGACCTCACAATCACAAAGTTTCTAGTACAGCAGGAGACAAAAGATCAACATTTGCAATAACTTTCAACCCTTTGTATAACTTCAAAGGAATATAAAATTGATCAAATCGCATCGCAATGAAAATCATCTTCGTTCTGCTGTTCAGATTAAGCTCTGCTCCAAATCAACATCCAAGAAAGGTGAAGAAAGTTCAACAGCAGGTCCTGGATTGGATCAAGAGTGGATCAACTAAACCAATGTGCACTGCTAGGCCAGGTAGTTTGAAAAATTTACAGCTGGAAATGCGAAAATACTTCATTTTTAATTGGTATAGTCAGGGGCGGATTTAGGGGGGGCTGTGCAGAAAATTTGGCCAAAAAAGCGTCTTTTTAGTGCTCTAGGAGAGCTCGGAAAAAATCTATACAATGTGCATTTTGTGCATTGTAATCGGATTCCGCAACAAGGACGCCCCCTTTGTTCTTCTTTTGTTCTTTCCTTCTCTTTGATCGTTCCGACAAAATTTTAACATGTTTAAAGACTTGTCTCTGGAATCCAGGAACATACAGACACAAAATTGTGCTCCTATCCAGTGCACAGTTTGGCCTCGTAATGTCGACCTAAAAAAAAGTCGTCAAAATTTTAAAAAAATTTTTGAAAATCCGCCATTCCCACCCCCCAACCCCCCCCCCCCCTCCCCCCCCCCTGTCGACCTAAAAAAAAGGTCGTCAAAATTTTAAAATTTTTTTGAAAATCCGCCCCACCTCGAGAAAATCCTAGATCCGCCCCTGGGTACAGTATTCTATTGCTTCATTGAGCTGCATGTAGAGTACTGCCTTCTCTTGCAGTATAAGTTCACTGATCAATGAGAAATTAGGGAAATGTTTCAGGGAAATAAAATTAGGGAATCAATTAAATATTTTTTTTGCAATCAGTTTGGTTTTTTTATCGGAGAAATCGGTTTTCAATTAGGTTTTCTAAACTTTGAGTTGTTTTTAAAATCATGTATGATGGAAATTTTTCCGCAGGCTGGCAGACAATATCTTTGCAGAACATGGTTTACAAGAAGCGCATGAGTCAAATCAAGATAGAACTGGTAGACATTCTGGAGGTCAACACAGAGCAAAGGTATTCATTTCAGCAGAAGAAGCTAATTGGACAAAATTTGGGCGTTTTTAATTCCTTTTTGCTTGTAAACAATTTTGCTCTTGCAAGCAATTTATTTTGAAAACTTAATGTGTTCTCTTTTCCTGTTCAGTGCACTTTTTTGCAAGCATGTTTTTGCTAACTGACAGCATAAGCACGTTTCACCGAAACTTTAAATTATTAGTATATATATCGGCAGCGTTAAAATTATTAGTTTGTATCGGCAGAGTTTTTTAGTACACACACAGCTGTGACTGATATCTAGACTGAGTTTCGCCCATAACAGTTTCTTTCTTATAAGATGCTGTTATGACCTAGAGTTGAATAATCTGTATAGATACGTTCGGTGTGAGCCACTTGTATCGATGGGCCAGCTGTCTCACACCCTCAGTCAATTGGGGTGGACGATCCCCATCCTGCCTGAGTTAGATGACCTGACTGTGGGGGGTCTGGTGATGGGCACTGGCATCGAGACATCTTCCCACAAATACGGGCTGTTTCAGGTCGGACAACAAAACTGATTAATTACTGTAGCCCTAAAAAGTGCCTGCACGTGTCACGTTATCTTGTGCTTAATCTCTAGATCAACCAGAAAAGCTGTAACTAGCATTCAGACATAGATATGTGGCTTCGGGTCCTACTTAGTAGTACCTCTAAATTAGTTTAGATCAGGGTTGGTTAGCATTTTTTGTCTCTGGCCAAGAAGCCATTGTTACGACAACTGTCGGAGAGTGGAAAGTAGTTATGGAATTGGGTCGGTTTTTCAATTCTTTCCCAGTCAATTTGGTTACCTTGAGGAAAACTCTTAGGTGGTCAAATGTGGCATCCCATTGCAGTCATATTGATTGTGATTCGGATTTTAAAGTACATTTCGAAAATCCATCTCAGTCTCAAGATTAACTTGTCTGAACAGTTTCGATTAACTCATTTAGATGAAATTTTCCGAGATGCTGACCCCGCGCCTGTATCGATTGATAAGTTTAATTGAATTCTTCTACATACTGCTCCTTGGTCTAGCTATTTTTCTAATCCTTGCGTTTTTTCAACTATTTCAGTCTTTTTGTACTACAAGAAACAGTAAGTTTTAAAAACAGAAAACAAACGCTTGAAAAATGTCTTTGAAAAAAATCGATTTTTTAAAATGTTTTTAAAGAAAATGTCTTAAAGAAAATGTCTTAAATAGTCAGGAAAATGTCTTAAAGTGCTCTAACAACCTCAGAAGTGCATTTATACATCAAATGGATGCACTTAGGTATATATGCACTCTTTGATTTCAATTCCAGTTCATCTGGTAAAACTTAGGCAAATTGCGCCCTCGAATTACGAAAGTTGATATAGCGTTAACAAACCTGACCAAAAGTTTCAAAAATGGATCTTAATTTTCAGATTTCCCAGCGTAATTAACGTTTTACTCTCAGGGAATAAAAAATTTTAACCTGTTATTTCAGTTTTCTCAACTTGAGTTAATTAAATCAAAAGTGTGTCGATTGCAAAATTTTTTTAAAATTCAAAGAGTTTAACGACCATATATATACTTTCTGAAGTTTTTTCATATATAAAACTCCAAAGTTTAGACTTTATCGTTTCCTCGCGTTCCTTGACTATTTTCCAATTTTTTGTTGGCTGTGTTTTATATTCAGAAAATTTTATAACAAAAGTTTGGAAAGCTTAAGAATTTAGCTTCAAATCTTGAGATTTCCAAGCTCGTATGTTAGCACCGGTCTAATTTTGGTACGAATATTCCCTTTTTTACATAAGTTTTGATAATTATATCGCACTCATGTTACATACATACAATTAAAATTATCTAATAAAATGTTCTATTAATCTATGTAGGTATGTACAGTTAATGTACAATTACTTAAAAGAATAAAACAAGTAAAATAAAGTGTGAATTTAAAACTTTCTAAACTAAAATTAGAACCCGATGGTCGAATTATGCAGAGCTTACGGGTATTTAATCAATACCGAAGGTCATTAAGATAAACATAGAACAAATCACAACATTTTCCACCGGGAAAAAACTTAAAACTACAATTTAACTGAAACTAGTTCTATATACACCTATTTCCGCCTTCAAAGTAGGAACAAAATTTCACAAACTGCGCCAAACAATAATACAGCAAGCAAAAATGGAATCTACAAATGAAATTTGGAAAGGCCAAATGTACAAAGGGTGAATATACAGAATTTACCGCTGTACAATAATAAAAAAAAATTAAATGAAACAACACTAATCTACAAGATGTACATTTATCATGTACCAAATTACCTACAATAACGGAGGTCAGTTAAAATGAATACTATAAAAGTGAAAATAATTGAGAAAAGAATTGAAAAAATTTTGGCAGTTTTCAAATAAATCTTGCATTAAATCTAGTCTGTGTTTCAGGTCTGTATCAATTGTCGATGAAATATCACTGGTTCCTTCTATATTGTCAGTTGTGTCGTATGTTGTAGGTCGGGGTGAAGAGGAAGATCCGTAGGATGTGTTCGTCAAAATGTCTGAATCGGGGTGTGTCTTGCTTGTCCCGATTGAATAGATTTCTGTGATGTCCAGGATAAGGTAGTTTCTGCAACGAGGGAGGTTTTTGGAGGTACCTCCACGAGTGGTGCTAGGAGTTCTGATGGTGAAGTGACAGTCAAAGTAGCCCTCGTTGAGCTAAGATGGTCGTCCTGTAGCGTAAACACTTCAGTGGTCGGGTCTTCCTTTTCTATAACGATGTCGCTGTATCTTCGTTCTCCGAAGAATTCGGGGACCCACGTTTCTGCAAGGTCTAGACGGCCTCGGTTGTTGTTCCACTGGGGAAAGTTCTTCTGGGGTACTGTCCAATAGAATCTGGTTCTTTTCAGAACCCTCTATTGCCGCTGCGTCTGGCGCGTCCACGATTGCAGGGTTTTCTGTGGATCCAGTGAGATTAGGCCTGATTGATTGAGTGTGGTCATCACCTGTAAAACTTAACCCTTGGTTAGATCCCGAGTCGGCTTGTTGGCTAAGCGGTACATTATTATTTGTCATATCATCGAAATAGTCGTCTATTATTCCACACCAAGAGTTTAAATATCAAGAGGACGAGGAATCTGAGATGTCTCGTGAAAGATCGTGTGTAAAACATGGATCTGTCGACGGGCCAGACACATGTTAACGCCTATCCGCTCTTGATATCCCTTGATTTAGCTGGGTTTGATCTTTCCCAACTGTCTTTTTCGGAGTAAATAGTTTCCCCTTTCCTGCTAAACTCGAAGGTATAGTTAGATTATGCCCGATGGTTGACTGATTCACAACAATTTTCCTGGGACCGGGGAGTAGTTTTCCTTTGTAGGCTAGATCCGATTTTTCTAAAACGTGGCCGTTATCAAGTAGTATGGTGTGCTCAGATGAGCCGATGACATCCTCCTTTACAAGATTAAAATAAGGTTCCCAATTTTTTGTGTTGGCCGGTCTTCTATAGTATTTACCTCCAGAGACTAGTTTCTTCATCGATCTTGAGCCTTTGTCCGGATTATGAGCTTCTGGAACGGGAGTCCTTGGGATTGTGAGAGCTAGCGGCAGGTTGTCTTCGGAGTTGGTTTGAGTGTCCATATCAGCGTCCAGATAGCCGTCTGCCGCGCCGTCGTGCAACTCCCAATTTCTGGACCGTTGGTCGCATAGAATTATTTTTCCTTTTTCTAAACGGTTATCAGGGGAAATCAGATTTTTGCATCTGGTGTTAGCCGTTCTATTAAAATGTTTCTCGAACGGAGTACAACCAATTTTTCGATCAAAGAGTTTAAAGAAGGTTTTGGTAAATCAAATGACTTGGTTAATAAATTAGACTTGACAGTAAATACAAGTCTTTCCACGAGCCCATTGGATCTATGGTCGCCGACTGTAGAGTAAATGATTTCGATGTTATATTTTTCACAGAAGGTTTTAAAATCGTATGATAAAAAACACGACCCATTGTCGACTCTAATCTTCTTTGGAACTCCGTGAAGATGGCAATAATCGTTTAAAAATGAGATAACGGTGCACAAGAGAATATATATTTTTTGTTCCTTAAAAAATGTCCAAAGGTCCTGCGAAGTCCAGGTTTTTTCCTCGTTTGCGAACGACGACGTGGGTAGTTTTGTAGTATGGTCCATACCAAGTAAAACTTAGAGGTTCTTTCCGGCTTTCAGGCATTGGTTACATGACTTCCCTTGATGGTATATCTCTCGGTAGAAATGGGGCCACCAAATATTTTCTGCTAAAAATTTCAACCCGATTTGGCCTGGATGGGTCTCGTGAAGCAAAGAGCTGAAGATAACCCTGATGGTTGCCGGTACGACTAACTTATTATCTAAGAATAATAAGTCGTCTTTCATGTGAAGGTCCTTTGCGCAATTTTTCGAATAATTTTCGTGAATGCCCATCGGTCGTCCGGTTTTTATAGTGTCTATTAGGTCCCAAATCACTTTGTACTCTCTCGTCATCAGTTGTAGTAATTTTTTGGAGAAGTGGTCTTCGGTAAACAACGGAGAGTTGGGAAGTTTTAAGTCGGATTTGAATCTTTTCAGAAGATTTGCGTGATTGTCCGGTAGGTGCTCATCTTTGAACTTTAAAGAAAAACTGTGTTCTTCTGGAATATTAAGTAATGGGCCGGTAATCAGGTCTATTTTTGTGTTGCGAAAATTTTTTTGTTCTGTGGAATTAAGTGTTTATTTTTAATGAGAAAGTATAAAAACACCTTGTCCGATAAAATAATGCTCTTGTAATTCTATGTAGAGTTGTCAAGAGGTAAAAACTTGGAAGAACAATTTTCTGCTTCAAAATGAGAACTTTTGCCAATTTTTAGTGACTGATTAATTCAAGATATGATAGCGGCAATAATTTTAAGATTAAGATAAGCTAAAGAGCTGTTAAAAGCATCTTGACCAATTGGATCGCTTGATTTTCCTACTCCCGACAGGATATTACTATCAACGAGCGTATTTGTATTTACAGCCACCGACGGTCTATCTACAGAATCCACTTTTACAAGATTAGAATGGTCGCTATTGGATAAAATATTTGGAATTTTGTCGGTTGAAGCTACAACAAATTCTTCGTCGTAATAAGAAGGTGGGAGGGCTTTTCTCGAAGGTAATCTAGATAAGAGGTCGGTAAACCCATATCTTTTCCTGGTATATGGGAAATCTTAGGTAACAATATGTTTACCCAGCGGGTCAGTCGACTATGCATAGTCTCATTACTATGATTTGCCGAAAGAGCTGAAAGAAGAGCTTTATGGTCCGTTACGATTTCGAATTCTGCCCCGTAAAAGTAATTTCTAAATTGTTCTGAGGTTTACACCACGCCGAACAGTTCCAATTTGTTTGTGGAATATTTCATTTCATGGTTGCTGAGAATTCTTGAGGCGAATGCAATTGTTTTTCCATTGCCCCCCTTGGAATTGTTCTAAAATTGCGCCCAGACCACTATGAGAGGCGTCCGTTTTTGATCTCGTTTTTTTTAATTGACTGTTTTCCATAATATTTAAAATTTCTGTTTGTAGTTTTTCGAAGGCTAACGAATGGTTATTGTCCCATTTATATATTGATTTTTTTGTTTAACAGGGGACGAAGTGGAGAGCTAACTTGGTACAAATTTTACATACTGATTTATGGAGCCAAAAAGGATTGCAGTTCCGAAATGTTCTGGGGGATTGGGAGGTTCTTGTTGGCGTCTGCTTTACCGACCAAAGGTTGTACTCCATCTTCCGAGATTTTAAAGCCTCACCAACTTATTTCTGACTGGAAGAATGCACATTTCCCCCATTTCACCGCCATTTTGTTGTTGTCCAGAATTGTCAGAACTTTAATTACAATTGCTTTATGTTCCTCCAGTGATCCCTTCAATTCACCAGAATATCGTCTATATAACAATTTGTGAACGATATGATCTTTAAAAGTGAGTCTATGACCCGTTGAAATTCGTTGGGCATATCACCCAGTCCGTGAAATTCAGTTAAAAACCGAAACCGTTGTTTCCCCGCCCACAATACTGAATTTACATTGCTTACTTCTTTTTTCGCACAAATTAGGTTGGTTGTATGCATTTTCAGATCCAAGTTGCTAAACCAAACCTGCCCAGTGGGTTTTTATAAGATTTGTAAGGCCAAGTTATCTATGAGTTCATGGATGTTTGGCATTTGGTATTTGTTTTCAAAAATCTGGTCATTTATTAATTTAAAATATAATGCCAATTTAATTGAACCGTCTTTATTCCCCTGTTTATAACAATCGGGCTCATGAAACAATCTTTGTCAACCTTTTGAAGTTTTATAATGTGCCCCAGGTCTCCATTCTTCTTAATTATTCATTAACTCCCGCAAATATGTGTAGGGGAACTCTTCTCCCTTTTGCCTGAACAGGGTTGAACAGGTAGCGGAAGTGTGTGACCTTGCAAGTGTTAAGGTTTTTTCCCACTCGAGGAAACAATTCTTTAAATTTAATTTAAAAATTTATCAGTTGCTAAGTGTGGTTTATTTCACTTACTCTCGTATGGTGGTTGACTGACTGAGAAAATTGGCTGGGGGCATTTCTTCTGCTTCCTTCCTATGCCTAACTTTTTTAAGTTGTCTTTCCCCAGAATATTGCGTTCGTGACCACCAGTGATAAATAACGGCGTTTCTTCACTTATCCACCCGTTGGATTGCGTCCTAACAATGATCTTTCCTAGAATAGTGATGGTATCATCAGTGAAGCCACAATAAAGGTCTCTAACTTCTTCTCCACTGGATAAATTTAAAGGTTGGGATATATCAGCTTAAGTTCGTGCAACATGTTTTGTTTCAAAAAGCTAACAGAGCTCGCTGAGTCTACCGTAATGTTCATTTTCACGATCATTTCCCACCCCAATCTTATATTTAAAAGTTTCTTAGTTTCGAGCCCATTTTTGTCGTAGATTGTTCTAACGCTCAATACAGAGAAATCGTCGTCGTTCCATTCGTTTATCACATTCGTTCCAGGCGTTTATCACTCCGCAAATTTCTTGATTATTGGATTTTTGCTTCACTAACTTTCCGGCGGGACGTAAGTACAATTCTCAGTATTTACATCATTATCAGATACAGTATTTACAGTGGGTCGTTTGTTACGGAAATTACATAGTTTAGCAAAGTTTCCTTTGTAATTACAATTTTTACATGTTATGTCCTTCGCTGGGCATACGTTTAGATGTCCTTTTGTAAATGGGTTCCCACATTTCAAGCAAGTTTTACTTCTTTCTATGTTGAGGCTTAGTTCTTTCTTGATCTGGTTGTGTAAATTAAAAGATTTAGAAGTTGGCCCATTGCTCGAGGATCTCGCCATGTCAGTCAATTTTTGATGGTTAAAATAGCCTTTTTCATCAATGAAGGCCTGATTGAGCGCTTCCGACGGGCTTATCGTGGCTGAGAGTAATTTCTTTTGAGTTTCTGTATTCTTCAAGTTACAAATGAAGATATTTCTTATCCATTCAGCTTCGTCGCTCTACCTTATGTTGCATGTCCCAGAATTGTTCGAACGATTCCCGATCTTTTTGTTCACGCCTTAGTAGTTTGTACCTCTCGAACATTGTATTAGGATTTTTAACAAATGTGATGTCAAGTAATGTCCAGAACTCCGTGAATGAGATAGCTAAAATCCTTACCCGAGGGTTCTTTTGAGCAAAAACTTTTTTTCCTTCGCTCCATAGTGCTAAAAACAAAATCGAGTGGAGTTTTTTGTCAGCTTCAGTCCGTCTCAGCCCATTGAATTTTCTCTTTTCTTCGTTTATCCGTTTTTCATCGGCGGCTTCGTATTGTTTCATCGCATTTTTGTTCCTCATCTCTTTACTGGTTCTGTCTGTGTCCGACTCGCTTCCTGTGGTTTGCTTCAATATAGGAATTTGCGTTTCTGGTACCTCCGGTCCGATGAGACTATCTATGTCCAGATTTTTTTCCGCATTTATCGCCAACTGGAATTGTTGGCTCCATTGTTTCCAGGAATGCGATGGCTCTACAGTATCGTTCGGCCAAAAGGAGGGGATTCCGCGCACGTTCGATTCATTTGACTGCGCCATAATAAAACGTTCTTTTAATCTATGTAGGTATATAGGTAACAAGTAAAATAAAGTGTGAATTTAAAACGTTCTAAATTAAAACTAGAACCAACACACAATGACATTGGTCGAATCAAGCCGAGTTAACGGGTATTTAATCAATACCGAAGGTCATTAAGATAGACATAAAAACAAATCATAACATTATCATTGTTTTTTCTAATCAGAATTATTCGAGTTACGGGGCAGTCAAAATTTTCAAAAGCCTTGCCTTGATATGAGCAGTTTTGTTATTGTTATTCTTAACGACACAATCAAAATGGAAGCCTTGATTGTATGAACTGAGCAAGAGGTACTTGAGACATGTATATAAGGACATTAACTACTTTTTAATTGTATAATACTATACACCAAGTTCTTGAACAAACGCGAAAAATCAAAAATCACATTATGAAAACCCACAAACTAGGTTCAGAGTTTAAAAAAAGCCAATTTAGTCGCATCATTATCGGATTTTTCCTGTTTTGGTTTAAGAAAAATGGTCAACTGCTTACTTAATAGGATGCCACTGAACTGATACTGGCTTTTTTTTACCTCAAGGCAACCAAAAAAAAAAATCGAAAAAAAGAAGAAAAGTAATTGATTTTTATTTTCAAAAACTTTTTCTCGACAATCATTTAATAAATATTCAGAAGGCCATATGATTGCAACCTATATACACTTCAACCACCAGTTCGCTTTAGAAAACGTCTTTTTGTCGCTTTTGCTTGGGGTCGTATCGGACAGCTCAATAGGTCGTATCGGGGGGGGGGGGGGGTCATTGCTCAATTGATGCCCTTGAATTAACATTACTATAACTTAAGGTTTAAGCATCACAGTTTTTTTTTGTAAATACTGTATCCATATGGAATGTTTTGTGAAAAGTTTTTAATGTGTATTTTTTTTCGTGAGAAAGACAGTGGTAAGTGAAAGAAGAAGATAGCGCCAAAAGATACTCGTTTTCATCATCAATTTTTAACATTATCTCCGAATATCCGTCAATATGGAACGATTTACCAGCTAATTTGAAGTATTTTCCTGTAGCACATCTGTCAAGAGTATGAACTCGTCATGGCTGATGGATCAGTCATCGTCTGCTCAGAGGAAGAAAATCAGGACCTCGTGAGTTTTTTTGTTAGATAAATTGATGACGTCTCAGAATCTACAACTGACACAAAGAATTTCAGCGTAATTCTTTTCAAACTTTTGAGTTGAATCGTATCTTGATGAAGCCTATTCACTCATATGAATTAGCTAATGGTATATTTGTTCCAGTTCTACGCAGTGCCCTGGTCCTATGGCACTCTGGGCTTCTTGGTGTCTGTGAAGATCAAAATTGTACCCTCGAAGCAATTTGTTCACATCAACTACTTCCCAATGCACTCCATGCAACAAGCCATAGAAGTAATTAAGGGTTCATGATTCGACCGATGATGTATAGAACTTGATAGTACTTTGGCAGTTGGTTTTTAAAAATTCTAAATCTCGGATAATAAAAGGAGAGGATCTGCTCAGGAACGAAATTAACATAAGCGACATATATGTCCGAATTACGAATGAAAGGTTTCCATTCTGCCTGATTATCACCACTGATTGTTGCTCTTCGTTGAGTAAAAATTACGAAAGAAGGATTTTTCGTTATTTTTTTCTGTGCCCGGGATGCCCTCCTAGCACCCCATATTTCCAAAAAAAATACTTAAATTTTTGGGCTTTGGAAATTTGATTAACGAAAGCAAGCACCGCTTCATGACTCCTCGCAATATAATGTTTCAGCTTCTTCGGTCATCTCTGAGTTCGGAAAACCCAGACGAATTCATTGAGTGTCTCGTGTTTTCGAAAGACACGGCGGTTGTCATGACGGCCAACTTCTCCGACAAATGCGACAGCAAGAAGTTGAATAGAATTGGTCGCTGGTTCAAACCATGGTAAGTGTAAGCAGCATTTTAATTGCCATTACTGTAAGATATGTGACTGAATAAGTTTCTGAGGCTGGTCAAAAAACCAAGTAAATTTCAAATGTTAATGAATGAAGTAACGACACTGATTCAAGTCGCGCGCTTTTTTAAGCTTTGTTTTTAAGAAAATATATTATAACATTTTGACATTCGCTTAAGTTTTCCTTTTTCAAAGTTCACAAATAGTTCAAATGTATCAAATAGTTCAGACGCATGAATCGTTTTATTAGAAGGGGTTTTAGCTTTTAGAATTTCATTTGCATTAAAATTGTGGCCGATAGTCAAAAATATCCCTGACTCTTTTCGTATCAAATCTTATTCTTTGTTGAATAACTCGCTATACATTGGCGCGACCGCGTCTATCAATATTTAATTCACTAGTTCTGAACGATTATGAGTGGATTGATTGTTTTAGTATTTTCAGTATTTGGGATCTTATGTTGGGTTAAATTTGGCGCAAAAATTTGATTTAAATAAAATTCTGGAATTTCCAAGACTTTTAAGGTGATATAATTTTTTCAATGAAGCTCCAAATTTGTATCTATTTGTTTTAAGGTGATATAATTTTTTCATTGAAGCTCAAAGTTTCTTTATAGATAATTTTTCTTTTTTCTTGATTTTTTTTAGAATATTTATAATTCATTTTTAAGCATTGGATTTATTTCAGTAGAAAAACACTCTTTTTTATTCTCTCTCCAATTTTTCTTTCGGTGGCTTGTCAATTGAAGCTTTCTTTCCCTATTTTTTATTTTATTAGCGAAGCTTATTGTCGCTTTTAGATGAAAATAGTGTGAATGGCATAAAAGTTGAACTTCATGCTTCTAGTTTTAACAGTGCATTTAGTTATGAACCGATACCAATCAGAAATGTTAAGATAATTGGCTTTTTCATTAATTGTTCTTCATTTTTTTTTCAAAATTCATAAGCCTTTAAACTAAACACATTTGCGATAGAGCTGTTTTATGTAGGGTACTGCAGTTTTAATGACTTGTTACAGGTTCTACAGTTTTGTTACTTTTTGAGCTTTCTCAGTGGAACGTAGAGTTTATATCTGACCACAGGCTTTTTTGGCATTGGTTTTAAGTTTTTTTGCGAAGTCGAGAGAAATACGCCGAAAACAACGACATTAATTTGAAAAATTTAGTTGTATTTTTTAAGACTGGAGTCGGAACATTCTTGCACAGTAACCGGCTATCCTAGTTGAAAATTGAAACTCATTTTTTCATTTAAACCACCCTCATCAAATGAAATCTGCTAAATATACGCCAATACCCTGCAATTACTTTTCTTCCTGTTATTTTGTTTAAAATTGTTGGTACTAAAACAATGGTAGGAACTGAATCAGAAAATGTTTCCAAACGAAAAAGTATGTTACTGCATCGGTTTGTACTGACAGTTTCCTATGATCAGCAACTAATTTATCCAAATATGTCCAAAAAAAAATCAAACATATTGATCTAAGTGCGCGACGTTTCCATCTGAAATGAAAAACGTTTTATTTTTGTATTCTCTAAAATCTTTGTTTTCGAATTATCTCGTATAACTTTCACGAGCTAACGCAAATCAAGAAAACTGAATCGATGAGAACTTTTTCTTAAAAAGGGAAATCTAGGATCTTGTTAACTATTTCCCGCTATTTCGATTTTCAAAAATTCAACTTTGGCGGCCACCTTTTCAATCAGGAAATATATATATTTAAAAAATTTTACGTGGGTATTATATAAATAGTGAGTAATACAAATAAGAACGCGCAAAAATGAAAACTCACTTAATTGTTGATGTTTTTGAAATGCATATTTTATACAGAAATGGTTGTCAAAAGTACTACATGCATAGGGGGGAAAGAGTTAACAAGGTCCAAAAGGGGGGAAATAGTAAACAAGATCCGGATTTTAGAACAATATTAACTTAGAAACTAAAATGCTCCGTTTCATTTTCTCACACGCTTCTCATATTATTCGCTTGTTTATGGTGAAAATCATTTGCATTCTTTTTGCGTCCTCTACTAAAAGTAAAGGTTTTAAAAAGTTAAAGGTCAAACTGCCAAGTATTTTTTGAGCTTAAGCTTAGATTAACCGCCACCAAAACATGTTGAAATTTTTTTCGAAAGAACAGAGGAAAACTACTCAACTTAGAAAGATAATTTGTCCCGTGAAAATTTTGGTCCTTTGCCTACGTTGATTTTTCCACGCGGTTTAAGACAGTCAATGTAGTGAATGTAGTGAAGATATTCATTGAGGCCGTGTCTTTTTTAAATGAGAAATTAAAAATTTGATAATGCTCAACTTTGATTTTTCGCGTTTTGATTTTCGATTTCTTTTGAAGTTTATTTTTAAAATTTCCCAGCATTGTAGAAAATTTACGGATAGTTTTCTCTCATTGGCTCATTTTACTTTTAAAAGAAGGCCGATCGGAAACGATTCATAAAATTACAGAGTTTTGGAAATTTGTTTTTGTCGAAAAAAGAAAATTGTTAAAAAATTAGTTTATTTTGATATCATTGACACTTTGCAAACTTTTTGTTGGTACTGTTTCAAGTATCTTTTTAAAACAGAGTTATTAAATTGCGAGAGGTCTTCGTTTTCTTCCGACTATTGAAAATGTGAGAAACTTTGTATTCATGTGCGGTTTAGTTTTGTTTCTTCTTTTGTTTTCCACTCAAAATGAGGTACCGGAAAAGTTATAAGAAAGGATCAAGTGATATAATTTATTGATGCCGTTTTAGTCGAGATTCGAAGGACATTAAAAACTTTCAAAATGTCTCAGTTGCCAGGAAAACCGGTTTGAACTTTTCAAATTTTGCTGCAATTTCGAGCGAGTAACGTTTTATATATCAAAATTAGTGATTTGGGCTGAGGAAATTCGAATTTATTAAGAAAAAACAACTAAAATGATAGCTTAATTTAGCGCTTGCCGGCATTAAAAGGTTTTCAAAAAGTATTGAGCGAAAATAGAAGAAAAAAGTTTAGGAAAACTTCTTTTTCCATTTTTATAATAGTAAAAGAGCGGGTCAGTTTACCAGGACCAACTATTCTTGATAGCTCCAATTGTTAGTGTTCAAAAGTTTGATGGCTACAAGTTAGCCAAGTGATAACTAACTTATTCATTTTAGATAAGTATATCTTTGTTATTCATGTTTTGATTACAACTGTTGTCGATTACACGTAGTTAACGTAATTCTTTTTTTTTCAAAGGTAGTTTTTTATGAATGTGATCGGAACGTTCTGTATATCCAGCATTGCAACTGTCGATCCTTGTTTTCATTTGCTTACGGGCAGTTTTAAACGAAAAAGTGGAGCTTGATTACGATTGGCTTGAACCGCTCATCTTACAATAAAGAACTTACAAATTGGCAGTGTAATACGGACTCCAAGACATGAGTTTTACGGGAAACACTCATCGCATAGAGTTTTTCTGCAACACTCATTGCAAGAGAGGTGTTACCTTAGTAAGGCTTTACTTTAAAGGCCAATCCTGGTTTTATGTTTGGCGAAAACTTTTTTGTCCAGTAAAAATTTGCACTTTTTGCCAAAACCACTTCTTAAAATGTTTTGCCAAAAAGTGGAATTTGGGTTAACATCTTTTCATCATTGACAGAAATGTTTTCAGGTTTTTCAAACACGTGGAGTGCATGCTGAAGAAGAGTAGAGACGGAGTGAGTGGGGTGGTATGCGAGGAGTGGATTCCCCTGAGGGACTACTACCACAGACACTCTAGATCCATCTTCTGGGAGATCCAGGACATCATCCCATTCGGAAACAACATCTTGTTCAGGTCATCTAAATGTCAAAAAGAGTTATCTTTTTAATAAGAATCTTTTCGTTTGTTCGGGGTAAACGCTCTATATCCAGGTAGCTTTATGATTAGTTTGGGTTGCCTTTAGGAGAGGTAGTGGCTCCAACTCCTAATCAGTGCCATGTGAACAATACCCCCTTCCCCCAAATTGATTTAGGGGGAGATTGTTCATTTGGTTTTTTTTACTTGTCTTTTGTTTGTTTGGGGGATCGGAGATTGTTCACTTGCTCGATGAGGGTAGTAGAGGGCGAATTGTTCACATGTGATCAGGGCATTGGGACACGACATTCGAGCCAAAATAAAATGACATTATTACACATAACGTATTCAATGCAATGTATCTTGGAGTCCAAAGTCCAAATAAGAGTTTTGATGAGTTTTAGTAACTTTAATAATTTGATAAGTAATATTTGGTTCTCTGTGATGAGTTGCGTTACAATATCTGCGTATCTGCTCATTAGGAAATGAATTCTCCCAATTAAACCGCAATGGCATTATCAATCAATTTTTTGTTCCACTCAATTCAACTCACTCTTTTTGTTCAGGTATGTGTTTGGTTGGTTAATTCCACCAAAAATCTCCCTCCTCAAACTGACCCAGGGCAAAACAATCAAGCGACTGTACGAACAACATCACATGGTCCAAGATATGCTGGTGCCCCTGGAAAGCCTCCAGAGGTCCCTGGATATGTTCGAGGAGCAGGTGTCAATCTACCCTCTATGGATTTGCCCGTTTAAGTTGCCAAACAATCTGGGAATGCTTAGAACGGACGATAAAATCCCAGACATGTAAGTTGGACTCATTGAAATTCTGGAGATCTATGCTTTTCACTGACTATAATAGAAATGGACTATGCTCAGACAGGCTTGATAGCGTTTCACAGGTCCTCCGCAAATCGCAGAAACTAAAACTACAGACAAAAATGCTTTAAAGTACAGGCATGTCCCTGGAATCCACAGACTACCGAAATAACGAGCTTGGCGTAGTAATAACCTACTTTGTTTATAAAAGGATCAACTTTGATTATTGGTTTAGAAAAAAAACGTTCTATCGCCAAACTATTTTTGGTGACATACAGATCGTTTCAGATATCTAACGTTAATAGGATGTTAAAAAATTGAATGGTTCATGTCTTAAATATAGGTTTGTGGACATTGGCGTGTATGGAGTTCCGAAAAGGGACAGCTTCGATGCAGTGCAAACTACAAGAACGGTGGAAGAGTTTGTCAGGAGGGAGAAAGGGTAACTTTCTTTATTTGACAATCAACCAGTTAAGTTGTCTCTTTTTTCAAAGAAAGTTCGGCTGAATAAACTGTTTAAGTCCGATTATAAGTTGCCATTTTATTGGAAAGAAATGATCTAGAGTTTTTGGAAATTTAACCTTTTGGTGTATATCTTTTTTACCCCACCATCTGCGAGTCATGAAGGAAAGACCCCGGGTTGACCTCCATTCACCGAAAATGCTTATCATACAATTCCATATAACAAAAATCATTATCATACAATTCCATACATCAAGTGTATGGAGAAAATGCTTGTCATACAATTTTCATACATTTTTGAATAACAGTAGAAAAAAAATTAAACCATTTCTTCGGCTGTATGAGAACAGTCGAACAGACTAGACTGGTGACAAAAAAACTGATTTAAAATTTTTTTTCGAAAAAAATGCTTACCATAATCGCGACGTAATTTTGAAATTTGAAATTTTAAAATTTTGCCC